AGCCAGAATCATAGAATCAAAGATTCACAATTTAAAACTTAAGACCCTTTTGAGCCTGTATCAAGTAGGTGAGAACTTAATAAATATTATGATAGCTGCCTTAAAAATTTGTTTTCAATCATTTAAGGGTAGGCAAGGGCTTTTAGGCGTGCATTAAAATTTATGAATTAAATCCATAATTCAACTCAACCAACTTGATTCGGTACAACTTTTCCAAGTTTAAAAAACTTAATAACCTCGACCGGCTTTTGAAGCCAAGTCCTAAGTTTTGGATCTTAAGGTTCGTTTGATTTATTTTGGATTCGGAATCAAAATTCTTCGTAATCAAAATTGAAATGGTCTATTTCCATAGGTTATTTGGTTCAGATAAGAATGAGAATAAGAATTAGAATCAATTGAAATGAGATTTCATTCCTAAAAAAGAGTTAGGGAATGACCAATCCCTCAAATAGAAGAATACTATTTCACCAGGAATGAGAATAATATTCTAATTCCACCCAATCAAACAGTTGGTTTCGGTTTCAAATCCAAACCCTTATTCCTGCCAAAGTGCCAATCAAACGGGGCCTAAGTTGGAACAATTGGACAGATTTCTCTCATTCCCATACGCATTAGAATTAAATGAAATCATTTAATGTGTTCGAAAGGCAATTAATTATTTAATCGACAGTTGAAAGGATCAACCATTCAATTGAGCGACTATAAATCGAAACCCTGAACAGAAACTAGTTCCAAATCTATTTCACATTTCAATGGTTTCCCAGTCAAACTCTGCTGCTGGTTTCATAAATGGGTTTCACATTTCCAAAGCCGCGGAGGTTGGCAATTTTGGCATCGACACTAGACATGAGTCTAGGCCGTCTACCTCCATTTATTTTTCTAAATCTGGCTCATCTAATTAAGCCAAAGCTCGACGGTGGAACTTGAGCCAAGGCTTGTACAGGTAAGCCATGAAAAGAAAAGCTGTAAAAAGGAAACTAAAAAATGCACAAAAATGATGAAATCGTAACATCTTGTCTTCTTGCACTATTTTGTCTTGATTAAGAGTTGTTTGGGTTAATCATGTGTTCTTCTATAAAAAAATATCTTAGGTTCTAATGGATCATCATAGATCCATAGTTTTAGCTCTATACCCATTGTTCAGAGTTAATGATTTCTGACATGGGTTCTTGTATTTTTTTTCACAGCAGACATGGGTTCTTGTTGGCTTCCCTGATTTTCAGATCAGGATAAGTAAATTTTAATGGATAGAATATGTATTTAATGAATTTCACATGCGCCCACATGCTTCCCTCTGACCTCTCCCCTCTTGCACTCAGTTTCCAATATGGATTCTCTCTTCCATTTGAGAAACTATTGTTTCTCATTTCAATCAATCATTTGGAACTTTCCTTCTCAATTAAATAGTTGGGGATTCATTTCGGCGCATCCCACCTTTTTTTTTTTTTTTTTCTTTTGTAAACAGGGCACCTCTATACTGAATATACAACGAAACTACTGTAGGAGACATGGGGTGTTTGTAATGTAGACTTATCATCAAGAGTATGCCCTCTTATCAAAAATAAAAAATGGGATGTTCCCAAATCACTCTGCTATTTTTGTCATCTTATCATGTAAGTTTATTAAACGTTGTTCATAGCTGTTGTTAGATATAAAATGATATATCATAGTTATCCACAGCCCAAGTCCACCAACTTATCATGATTCTAGGATCAGATGAAGATGATGACTTGCTTTCAGGAATTGTACTCATGCCGCAGAAGTGACAGGGCCGCATGGAACACAACTTTAACATCCTAAGTTTCAGCTCAATTGAGCTCAGCCATGTTGCAAAAAGATGCCCTTTTTAGTCCCACCATTCACGTAAAATTTCGGAACCGACTGCAGAATGCAGAGAATCTGATGCATAAGGATGATTTGGATGAGAAAACACATAGTCAATAGGTCTCTTATACAATGGAGTGGGTGATCATGGATTCATGGTGGGCTGCACCTGCCTTCCTCTTAATGAACAAACTGTACAATAATAAAATAAGAAGGTTGGTATGTCTAAAGAAGTAAAGAATCCTTTGACATTTATTATCAGACTAAAAGCTGTTAGAAGATTAAAAGTATTTAGCAGAAAAATCTGTCAATCTTTTTGTTGATTCAATTGGGGTCCATTGACTTGTTTAATCCACTCAAATCATTAGGGGCTTTACCAGTTCTCAACTAACTCCACTTCCGAGGTTTTGAACTGGCAATTAGCAGGTCTTACCAAAAACTAAAGTTAGAAAAACAATCAGATTTTTGCACATATTAATAGAAAATGAAAATCAAATACATAAAGAAACAATGTACCTGACTGAATTATTTCAAATGAAATAATTGACTGGAAGATTATGGAACAAACAAACCTTGAAAGAGTACAATATATAGGGAGGAAGATATAGATATCTATAAAATATGAACTGGAATCATGAAAGAATCCACAAATGAAAACTTGATCTAAGATTCGTAGTTGCTGACTTGCTGTCTAATTTGGTTGTGATGTTCTCCGGGCCCCCTAAAAGTGGCCCAAATGTCTGCTGGGGCCTATTTAAAACCCATGTAGAGTAAACTTGGTTTGGAACAGAGGATGTGACAGCACATGTAAACGTTAATGGGGCCCACCACGTGGGTTGCTCAATCAGCATGCCACGTGATGATAGTCCCTTTGTGATGGTGGTGGGCCAAGCTCTGCTCAGCCTCCGGTATGAGCCAAGTCTTCCTCGCAAGATTTATCTCCCATGTATTAACTTCCAAAGAGATTACATTGATGCGGAGAAAGACACTTTTCTCTATGTAATCTCTTTGGAAATGAAGAAGTATATGGAGATTGAGAATTATTGTCATTAATCCCCAACCAATTTGGGGTCTCCACATAACCAGTCGATGAGTTTTTTTCTTTTCTTTTTTTTTTAAGGGATTTGTTCAAAATATCAGTCTCCCAAACGATATCATCATATCAATAAGACAATAGGTTTATTGATTTGTTTGTGAGCAATTTATAATACAGAATCTAGGGCTCAAATGACTATAAGGTAATAAATATATAGGAAATACATTTTAAAAGTTTATATATAATGCAAATTATCAGGATACATTCAAAAGAGTCAAGACATGAATGCATACTTTGGAAAACCAACATAAATTCTATTAATATTTTTTTGGTAAGAATTTTATTGATACTTAAAAACATATATTAGTATCAAGGGCAATACTTTTCTCCTACCACGTTGGAGAACATATGTCCTATCACGTTCTGATTTTTAGATCTAAACCCTTAATTCCTAAACCCTAAGCCCTTAAACCCTAACCTTAAAATCTAAATTCTAAACTCTAAACCCTTAAACCCTAAGCCCCTAAACTCTAAATTCTAAATTTTAAACCTTAAATCCTAAAACCTAAACCCTAAAATTAATGTATAAAATGGTTGTAGCAGGCTGCACATCCTCCAACGTGGTAAGAGATAAGTGTTTTTCTAGTGTCGAAGTTCATAAAATTGGATTAAAGGTTAAAATTAAAACCTAATGCTAATTAAAAATAGCATCGTGGTTTGATGTCGTGAAATTCAGGGGGAAATTTAAATAGAGATAAATTTAAATTTGAATATAAATCGGTGATACATTATATGGTCAGTATCAAACTGTATTGGACCGATACATTGGGTACAGGTGGAATGGGCCATTTCACCTGTGCCATGTATTGATCACATTCAAAAAACAAGACAATACAAACCTTGCATTTATGCCAACATCAGGTGGATTAGTGGACTGGGGGTCGGATAACGATAGAAAGCTGGACCCATCTGTCAAACGGTCATCACTCAAGAGTAAAAATGATGCTGACATTGACTGAGATAATAAAGCACTGGGTTATCCTTACTATTATTGTACCAAGAACAAGTATCAAGTATGTGAATGATTCAGGGAAATGATTCAGAAATCTCCTGCATGGAATTTTCCTTTGCTTTGGAAACCCCATTTTCCTTTTCCCCATGTAAGAGGAAAGATGAAAACAGAAAGCATCCGTGTAATTGTAAACAAACCCAACTAATTGGAACAAAACTGGCTGATTGATTTTGATGACATTACCCTTTTAGAGTCGACATAGAACTCATGCCAGTGAAAGGTCAGGTGGAGTCAATGACATTGTTTCATGGGGACAGCATCTCTGAGACAATCACATCGTTGAATCTTGTTTTGGATAGAATGTAATTTCTAACTCTACAAGGTTAGGAACTTGAACCACGCCCCTTGCCTGAGATAATGAAGCACTGGGTTATCCTTACTATTATTGTACCAAGAACAAGTATCAAGTATGTGAATGATTCAGGGAAATGATTCAGATATCTCCTGCATGGAATTTTCCTTTGCTTTGGAAACCCCATTTTCCTTTTCCCCATGTAAGTGGAAAGATGAAAACAGAAAGCATCCATGTAATTGTAAACAAACCCAACTAATTGGAACAAAACTGGCCGATTGATTTTGATGACATTACCCTTTTAGAGTCGACATAGAACTCATGCCAGTGAAAGGTCAGGTGGAGTCAATGACATTGTTTCAAGGGGACAGCATCTCTGAGACAATCACATCGTTGAATCTTGTTTTGGATAGAATGTAATTTCTAACTCTACAAAGTTAGGAACTTGAACCACGCCCCTTGCCTGATTTTAAATAAATTAATTAAAAAAATAAGGTGCCTGTATCGACCAACAATATACAGATTACCTTGCTACTGAATAAGAGCTTACTATTGTACAATTCAATGCAGAACCAAATATCAAAAGTATCTTAGAAACAAATGAATAATTAGCTCGACAGTAGTCACATATTCTGTACGAAACTAGGGCCACACTGGAATGTGGACAAATAGATGCAGAATGTTGGGCAGCGGCTTCCACGGTTCCACCTTGCAGTGGTTCAATGTTCAAACGAAACACAGGTAGACAGAGAGCCTTTGCAAAAACAATGCAGGGATAGGAATTCAAAATGTCTCATCTATACTGGGGATGCTTTGTTCCAGCAAAAACAAGGCCAAAGAAAATAAATTAAATCACCTCTTCTGAAGCTGAAGAAAATAGGAAGGAATTCTTCCCTGGCCACTTCAGCTCCAGACTCCAACTGTTGATTATTGGAGAAATTGGCATTTAGAATTTTTGTATGATCATCAAAATAAATGCAGAAACAAAAGGAAAGAAGGGAGAGAATTTCCTTTTATGTAGGCATGTTATATTCACACTAACTACATCCTCCTCCCCCTTTAAGTCTGCAATTAGGAGGTGACATAGTTGATACCTGCTGGCCTAAAAAATTTTAGGGGCCATGTCATGGAGGTAAACCTGCTAATTTAATTTGTCTTCATCTGTTCAACATCCATATTCCTCTTTGACGTGGAATCTGGGCCATCTCTGGGAATGAGGCCAAGAAGTGGCAAAGGTAACAAGGAACTCACATTACACAGAAATATCAACAAAGCCAAGTTGTCAAAATTGTCCTTCGTGACACCAAAGACTTGCGTCAAACCAGCACCTATCAATCCTCCAACAACGCTACCTCCATTTGAAATGGACATTAGGGTGGCAAACAGAGTTGCTTCCATGCCCTCTGGACATAATCTTGCCGCTAGCACAAGTACAGGCATGAATGATGCCTGCAAAATTCTGTGACATTTAGCATCTCCTCCACTAGTTTTAATTTTGTAAAGCAGGAAATTTAATTAGAAAGAATAGCAACCAAACATTTCAGTTTTCTGTTTCTCAGATATAATATCTATGTACTGAAGTCAAAATTATGGTTCATGCAAGTATTATCAAAATATGAAGATGAACTGGGTAAAAAAAGTCCACAGCCTAGCCATGTCTACAAATATTTTTGATAATTTATGCTGGATGTGATCTAACCTAGTTTTCAAACACTGGATAAGGATAAGATAATCATTCAAACAGATTTGAGCATGGGATGCAACTGATGAAACAAAATTCAGATCTTATCATAGTCCAAATGTTCCATCTGAAACCAATTTACCTCTTAAAAATCTCTCTCTCTCTCTCTCTCTGATAGGAAACGGTAACTTTCATTGATGAAGTTAAATAAAGAGTGCAAGTATCACCACCCAAAGGATGGTTGGAGAAGCCAAAACAATATTAGCCTTACAAACATGCCCAAAACAAAGCCTCCCTATTAATTCCTTGCTTATCTAAAGCGTCAGCCATTCCATTTGCTGATCTTCTTACCCATCCTAGGTTTCTAGCTTGCATCCACCCTATTACCAGCTTGGAGTCTCCTTCCACTTCTAAGTGTTGCATTCCCCATTGTTTTGCCAATCACAGGCCTTGGAGTAAGGCCTTGACTTCTGCCTTTAAAGAGTCTCCCACCCCAACCGACCTAAGTATAGGGCCAACACTCTTCATCATCTCTGGAAAACACCCCCAATTCCTGATGGACCTGGATTACCTAAGGAGCTTCCATCAAAATTCAATTTCACCCTGAACTGTGGCGGCGGGGACCAACTCTCTTGAACTATAGGAGAAGAGGAAGAGGATACAGCTATAGAACTCCAACTTCTAATTAAATCAACTGAGGAAAAGTCCTTGAAAAGTTGCAAAGCTTTCAGCCAATGTAGAATCTTGATGGTAATGCCTTCAACAGGTGTGTTGAAGATTAGTTAGTTTTGTGTTGTTTTAAGAATAGTTGTGTTATGTTAGTTGTTAGATAGGAAGTGGGGACCACAGCAGTTATGTGAGTCCAAATTTTATTATTTTTTTGAGTATTTTATATGCTGTTTTATGTTTTGCCGCCCTATAAGGGCATAGTAGTCTTTGCACTCCTCTTATATTTTTAATATAAATAATAAGCGAAGGGGGCGGTCAGATCATTGCTCTCTTTCTTCTCAAAATCTCTTCTTCTCTTCTTCTTCTTCACTCTTCCTTCTCTCTTCAAGAAAACACTCTTTTCTTTTATATTTTTTATTTCAGCAGATTTCTACTTGGTATCAGAGCCAGGTTAGGGTTTTTGAAGCATTCTCATGCAGCCCTAGACCGGCTGACTGCATGAAGTAACAAAGGGCTAATTGATCTGCTATGGATTGCCTAGTTCTTGGATTTTTTGGTGAGATCCAGTCATTAGGAAGGTGATCTTCGTTTTGGCATCAAAATCAAGAAGAACTAGAGTACGGGGAAGAGTCCTAGAAAAGCTGGACTCTTTGTTTTTTATCTGATCTTGGGCGCATAGGTATCGTTGGATTTTTTTTATTTTTCTGTAGGGGGCGGTTAGTTTTCTGGACCTTTTTGGGCCTCTTGGAGTGGGCGATTCACTCTACTCTTTGTTGGGAGACATTGGGAGGAGAGAGATTTCTCTCCAATTAGGGTTTTCTTTTCCCATAAGGGTTTGTTCCTGTGTGTGTGGTTTTAAATTGTTCTTGGAGGCTTTCAACCTTTTTCTTCTGAACTGTTGAACTATTTGAAGCAAGATGGAGAGTTGGAATACCGAACTGAAATCCACCGATACCATGTGATGGGGATCGGTCTATGCATTATAAGGCCTATTCTCGTAAGAAGAAGGCCAACAAACAGGTTCTGATTTGGCATGGAGAAGACTCTTCAGACTTGGACTGATCTGGTCAGGGGTATTTTCGACATTTTGACCAGCCCAATGTGAACTTGGGCTATAACATCTTGTTCTTATAGCTTAGTAGTGCTTGTCTTTCAATTTTCAGTTTATCTGCATTAGTAGATAGAAAGTTATTGTGTTTCATGATGCACAAGACAAAGAGTGGCACTTTTTGTAATTATGGTGAACAGTGTTCCGGACCACACAAGTCACTCTATAAATAGATGTATTCTCTTCCTTTTGAGGCTGATGAATGAATGAAGATTTCTTAAGAGCTCTCTTGCTGTATGGAGTGGTTCCTACAAACCCTAGAGTGATTCTAGGACCCCTTGGAGTGATTCCTTGGGATTTCTCTCTTCTCTTTCTCTACCCTTTCTACTCTCTCTTCCTCTCTTTCGGTCTTGTGTTAGTTTGTTCCAGCCCTACTGCATCGGTTTTGGTATTAGAGCCAGGTTTCAAATGGCTCATTACCATAGTAGAAACATGAGAGGAAGATTAAGTGAACAAGCTTAAGAAGAGTTGTTGCTTGCACTTATTAATCGAGTGGACATACTAGAAGCTCAAGTCAAAGTGTTGATGGAAGAACAAGAAGAGAAAAATAGCACTGGTGTTCCACATGGAGGAGCTGAAGCAGAGGGTTCTAACATCAATAACCCTACTGTCCACATGTGAACCACCCACTAAAGACTGCCATCAAGCCCCTAAGGTCTCGAACTCTACAAACTCAAGGTACTTTAAATGATTTATATGATGAGTTGGTGGAGCATTCTAAGACTAATATAGATGACTATCGGGATGATATTACTAGTAAAGTGAAGATAGAAGTTCCTAGTTTTAGAGGTGACATCAATCCATGAATTTTCTCCAATTGGTTGGCAGAACTAGAGGAGTACTTTGATTGGTTCGACACGTCAGATGAAAGACGGGTTAGATTTGCTAAACTTGTAGACTGTTGTGAGGATCATTTAATTGTTATTTTACAGTTGCTGTTAGCGTGCTGTCAGCCTAAGATGCTGTCAGCCAGTTAGTTTCTTTCTTTTTTTTATTAGTTTGTTACTAGGGAGTGCCACCAGGGGCATACTTGTAATCTCCCATTCCTTTTATATTAAGTTAATATAAATAACTAAACTGCGGCAGCCAAAATAGTTTTTTGGTTCGTGTCTCGCAATCAAATCTTCCTCTTCTCTTCTCTTCTCTTCTCTTCTCTTCTCTTCTCTTTCTCTCTCTCGTCTCTCTCTCTCCATGAATGATGATTACATGGTATCAGAGCAAGGTTCTGGGCTATAAAAACCTGCTTCTCCCATCTGAACCTGCTTTGTCCTCTTTCTTCTTTGATTTCTTGGACGTGGAAGACAGAGAAACCCTAGCAGGCCACTTGCGGCTCTTCCTTTGGGTTCTTCCTTGGTCGTAACATCAAGGAGACCCTAGCAGAAGAAGGGCGATGCAGTAAAGACTCCCTTCCTTATCTGTTCGGTGCTGTGAGGTTAATTTTTGGGTTGGCACCTTCGTACAGGTGCTAGACAGGGTATGTGTTCTTGTGTTTTTCTATGGCCAATGGTGTGAAGGCGGTGCTGGACAGGGTATGTGTTCTTGTGTTTTTCTATGGACAATGGTGTGAAGGCCTTACTTTTTTGGTTTTATACCTTCGTTTAGATGCTGGACTGTTAGATTGCATGTGCTGCAGCCGAACTGCTAGTATACTATTCTAATGGCTGGTGCTGGACTGATTACTCGGCTGTTTTAATGGCTGAACCATCACTTAGTTGATTTCAGCAGTTCTTTGTTTTTCCACATTTCAGAAGTAAATTTCTTGGGGGTTGGTATTCTGATTGTAGCTGTTGTGTAGTTGTGTGGGATTTGGTCTGGTTCAGCAGTACTCTATGGCAAACTATGATTCAACTTCATCGGGGGTTACATCAACCCGCAGCACAGCTGGTATGGGAAGTGAAAATATGATGTTTCCCATGCCCATTACCCCTCTAAATGGTCTAAACTACCTGGAGTGGGCTAAAGTGTAAAACTTTATGTAACAGCAAGGGGAAAAGCTGATTACATAAATGGAAGGGTGAAAGAACCCAAGAGTGAGACAGCTGAACATGATTGGTGGGACCAAGAAAACAGTATGGTGATGTCTTGGCTCCTTGCAGCCATGGAACCTGATGTGAAGAACTTTATGTGGGCAGACACCGCTAGTGAGATTTGGGAATAGGCCAAAACCACCTATTTTGAGCAAAGGCATTATGCCAAGGTTTACCAGTTGTAAGCTGAATCCTCATCCTGTAAACAGGGAAATCGTAGTTTTGTCTACCTATTATTCAGCCCTTACTTCCGTATGGAAAGAATTGGATCATTATCAGGCTATAGAGTGGAAGCGTGATGATGATGCTAAGGCCTACAGGAAGCTGGTTTCTCAGCAGCGTGTGTTTGACTTCTTGTTGGGACTGAACCCTATCTATGAACCCTCCTTGAGAGTTCAGATCTTAGGAAGTAAAGAGTTGTCGGTTCACAAGGTATATGCCCTTGTTCAATCTGAAGAAAGTAGGCGGAGTGTGATGGTTACAACTGAGGGGGAGCTACAAGTTGCATTGGCCGCAATGAGTAATAACAACATGGGGAAGAAAAGTGACACCAAGAAGGCTGATGATAAAGACAAGTTGTTTTGTACCCACTGTCGGCCCTCACGACATACACGTGGCACAACATTAGCGGGAAACCTAAGTGGGCAGTGAAGAACCAAGAACAGGGTAAAGGGCAAGGTCAGAAGAAGACGAACACAACACATAATGCAACACATGTGGCAACCCAAGATACTCAGGTTGTTGGTACTACCCGGGACCACCTTACTAATTCTGACCCCAAGGAAGATATCATGAATTCCTTCAGAGACCACTTGGAGTCAAATAGAAGGGCTTTGCGATAGATGGATAGTTCAGTCACGGGTACTCCTACTTCATTTGCATCTACATCAGGCAATGTGGCTTCTGCATTCCATGTCACTACTACCACTGGTTCCCCTTGGATCATTGACTCAAGGGCCTCTAA